AGCTTCAGTTTGAATTTGCATATGAGTAATTGATGGTCTGTTCCACAGTCTGCCCCTGGCCTTGTTTTCACTGATGATATGGAGCTTTACCATCATCTCTTTCCACAAATGTCGTCAATTTGATTTCTATGTATTCCGTCTGGTGAGGTCCGTATGTATAGTCGTCTCTTATGCTGTCTAAAGAAGGTATTTGAAATGAACAAATTATTGTTCATTATTGTTCTCCAGCATCATTTTTATCAGCAAGGCCATATTTTCCAACTACTGATCCTTCCTCTTTGCTCCCAACCTTTACATTCCAATCACCAGTAATTATCAATACATCTTGACTGCCATGTTTGATCTATTTCAGATTGAACAAGTCGGCAGAATTCTTCTATTTCACCCTCACTGGCTTTAGTGTTTGGTGTGTAAATTTGAATAATAGTGGTATTAACTGGGCTTCCCTGTAGGACATGGATATTATCCTATCATAGACAGCGTTGTTCCTCGTGGCTGATCTGGATATGTTGGAATACTAATCCCCTATACCCGTGTAGTCCTGGATTAGCACTGGAGTGCGAACCACAAGTTTGGTGGTTCAAACCCACCAGTGGATCTTCGGAAATCCTGTAAAGAGTCACTATGAGTCAGAACCAACTGGCCAGCACTTAATAACACCAACAACGTACCTGTGGGTGTAATCCTGTTTGAGAACAGGGTTTCCTTTGTTATGTTAATGAGACCCTATAGGTCCTAAACCTAATCATGTCTGAGTGATATAAAGAGCTCCACAGACATAGAATCCTGGTGTGGTGCTGTAGGATAAGCAACACTAGGCTGCTAAACACAAGGTCGGCTGCTCAAACCCACCAGCTGCTCCCTGGAAACCCTCTACGGGGTCACAACGAGTCAGAACCAGCTCAATAGGTGCTTAACAACAATATAAACATAGAGATAAGGAATCACATGAGGAAGAAAGACTGTATAATAACAAAGGAGACAGATGACTCTAAAATCCTAGGGACTCCAAGAATTGCTGGTAATAATAGAAACTGAAAAAGACACCTATGCCCACCTGAATCCTAAACTGTAAGAAAATATATTTCTGTTCTTTAAAAGCCACTCATGGTATTTCTATTACAGAAGCAACTAGGAAAATAAGACAACACTCAATATGTAAAACACCTGGAAGTGGAGTTGTTCTGAAGTGGGTGAGAGATCGAGGGGTGGAAGGGTTGATGCTTAGACCCCCTTCCCCTGGAAAATAACTGGCCTGGTCCAGTCTCCTAGTTTTATAAAAGAAAAATGAAACTCAGAGAGCCAAAGCTCAAGATAGTATGGCTAGTCTAGATTTGAGTTCTCCTGATTCACGATGGAGTCATTTTTCAATTATAACTATCTCAGCAGAATGCAGGCACTCTCCCAATTACAAATGCCTTACGCTCCTAAATCTGTCTTTAAGTTGAAGCTGTATGTAAATCAAAACTCTTAGGTACATTTCACACCTAAGGTCTTATTATTTAGTATATAGTATGCCTTTCTATAGATTATTTTTAAAAAAGAAAGAAATTAAAGAAACACTTCTAGATACACCAAAACATCTTTAACATAATGAATGATACAGTAATAATAATGATGTCTTGATGAGTGTCATAAAGTAGCTTCAATTGTTATTATGAACCATTTGTTACTATGAACCTCAAAATTTTAATATAACAGACTTATGAGTAATGATGGATTACTAACTACAGAATATCAGACATGTCAGCAACATAGGACTGCATATAATCCTATTTTCAGACCCAGCCCCAGCCCCATTAAAGTCAAATTCATATGCAAGTCCTTTTGATTATATATTATCTCCCAAAATAGGACTTCTTTTAAAGCAGAAGCTACCAATCAAGTCAAAGCAAGATCTGAGGTGTGTCTTGAGTCTACATCCAGACCTCAAAAATTGCTGGATTTGATGATTCAAGCTAAACAACATGGAAGATAATCTCAAAGAATTAAAAATTATCAGTAAAAACGTACCAACCCCAGAAGGGGGCAGCAGTAACTCTCTGGAAAAAGGAAAGAAAATAAAAAAGCTGAAACATACGGGTGGAGCTGAGTTTACAGTGGTTTCTAGCTTTATAGGGATTTAGTTCAAGAGCCCTGGTGGTGCAGTGGTTAAAGCACTCGCCTACGAATGGAACACACCAGTCTATCCACACGGCAAAAACCTGGTGATCTGCTCCCATAAAGATCAATCCTATGAGGCAGTTCTACCCTGCCTTACACAGTCACTATGAGTCAGAATTAACTCCATGGCACTTGAACTGTAGCAAGCCTTTACTAAGACCCAAGTCAAGTTGTCACATACTGACTGCATCATGTGCTAGGAAGGAGCTGAGACCAGGATTGAGTCCCTGATCTCCAAAGATTGACGTCTGTTTACCTCCCTCAGTTTCACTGCATCTTCCCCTAATATTGTCATGCAAAACACATACGTACAGGCAAATACCACAGTCTAGCCAGCAATTTCTCAACTTCTACCCTTCACGTTCCACATCCCAGAAATGACTCCTCTAATTAAGATAAAGCATAACCAGATCTTTTCTCAACTTTTTATTGTGAATTGCCTGAAACGTTTACAGAGTAGATCATCAGTTTCACATTCAACAAATCATATACTTTGCTTCATTGTTGTTGTTATG